AGAGCTAATCAATGAATTTGGTAAAGTAGCAGGATACAAAATAAATGCACAGAAATCTCTTGCATTCCTACACACTAATGATGAGCAATCTGAAAGAGAAATTAAGGAAACACTCCCATTTACCATTGCAACAAAAAGAATAAAATATCTAGGAATAAAACTACCTAAGGAGACAAAAGGCCTGTATGCAGAACATTATAAGACACAGATGAAAGAAATTAAAGATGATACAAACAGATGGAGAGATATACCATGTTCTTGGATTGGAAGAATCAACACTGTGAAAATGACTATACTACTCAAAGCAATCTACAGGTTCAATGCAATCCCTATCAAACTACCACTGGCATTTTTTACAGAACTAGAACAAAAAATTTCACAATTTGTATGGAAACACAAAAGACCCTGAAAAGCCAAAGCAAACTTGAGAAAGAAAAACGGAGCTGGAGGAGGCAGGCTCCCTGACTTCAGACTGTACTACAAAGCTACAGTAATCAAGACAGTATGGTACTGGCACAAAAACAGAAATATAGATCAATGGAACAGGATAGAAAGCCCAGAGATAAACCCACGCACATACGGTCACCTTATCTTTGATAAAGGAGGCAAGAATATAGAATGGAGAAAAGACAGCCTCTTCAATAAGTGGTGCTGGGAAAACTGGACAGCTACATGTAAAAAAATGAAATTAGAACACTCCCTCACACCATACACAAAAATAAACTTAAAATGGATTAAAGACCTAAACGTAAGGCCAGACACTATCAAACTCTTAGAGGAAAACATAGGCAGAACACTCTATGACATAAATTACAGCGAGATCCTTTTTGACCCACCTCCTAGAGAAATGGAAATAAAAACAAAAATAAACAAATGGGACCTAATGAAACTTAAAAGCGTTTGCACAGCAAAGAAACCATGAACAAGATGAAAAGACAACTCTGAGAATGGAAGAAAATATTTGCAAATGACGCAAGTGACAAAGGATTAATCTCCAAAATTTACAAGCAGCCCATGCAGCTCAATATCAAAAAAACAAACAACCCAATCCAAAAATGGGCAGAAGACCTAAATAGACATTTGTCCAAAGAAGATATACAGATTGCCAACAAACACATGAAAGGATGTTCAACATCACTAATCATTAGAGAACTGTAAATCAAAATTACAATGATGTATTACCTCCCACCGGTCAGAACAGGCATCATCAAAATATCTACAAACAATAAATGCTGGAGAGGGTGTGGAGAAATCGGAACCCTCTTGCACTCTTGGTGGGAATGTAAATTGATACAGCCACTATGGAGAACAGTATGGAGGTTCCTTAAAAGACTAAAAATAGAACTGCCAAATGACCCAGCAATCCCACTACTGGGCATGTACCCTGAGAAAACCATAGTTCAAAAAGAGTCATGTACCGCAATGTTCATTGCAGCTCTATTTACAATAGCCAGGACATGGAAGCAACCTAAGTGTCCGTCGACAGATGAATGGATAAAGAAGATGTGGCACATATATACAATGGAATATTACTCAGCCATAAAAAGAAACAAAACTGAGTTATTTTTAGTGAGGTGGATGGACCTAGAGTCTGTCATACAGAGTGAAGTAAGTCAGAAAGAGAAAAACAAATACTGTATGCTAACACATATATATGGAATGTAAAAAAAAAATAAAATGGTTCCAAAGAACTTAGGGGCAGGATAGGAATAAAGCCACAGACACAGAGAATGGACTTGAGGTCACGGGGAGGGGCAAGGTTAAGCTGGGACGAAGTGAGAGAGTGGCATGGACATATATACACTACCAAATGTAGAATGGATGGCCAGTGGGAAGCAGCCACATAGCACAGGGAGATCAGCTCGGTGCTTTGTGACCACCTAGAGGGGTGGGATAGGGAGGGTGGGAGGGAGACGCAAGAGGGAGGGGATATGGGGATATATGTAAATGTATAGCTGATTCACTTTGTTATACAGTAGAAACTAACACATCATTGTAAAGCAATTATACTCCAATAAAGTTGTTAAAAAATAAATAAAAAAACATTAAAAATAGGTAATAAACACATAGAATACAAAGTTCATAAAGAAGAAATTTAAAAATATTTTTAGAATAAGTAATAAATGCATGTCTCAAAATATCCATAAGGTACAAAAGCATGGAAGGTAAGTATGCTAATACTTTTTCCTTCCCCTAATCCTTTCAGTATTTTCCTTTCTTCCCATCCCTATCCCCCACCCAAACAACCACTGAGACTAGTTTCTTAACAGTTTGTAAAGGCAAAAATTTGTCTCTTCCATACTTTCTGGTGAAGTGATCTCCATCGACAAGGCCTCAATGTGTAATGGCTGGGAATCATGTGTATTGTATAATTGAACTATTCTATTTCTCAGGCTGTAGCTAATTTATAGATTTTCTGTGTCAGAGAGGTCATTAAAAATGCCTATTTTGAGAAGCCTTTCCTAATTTCCCTCAGGAGATCTTTGCCCACCTTGAGAGGCTAAGCCTTTGTATTTCCATCTTAAGACATACTTTCCTTTTTAATGTTAAACATAGCTTTTACTTTTTTAATTATAAAATCATATTTTGTATTAGGAAATGTAGATAAGCCATCCTATACCACCACCAGCGAAAGATAAACACCTATACTTTGCTGTATATACTTCTAGAGAATTCTCATACAGTTTTATACATAATCTTTTAAAAAGTGATATCACACTATACTAACAATTTTTCAGCTTATTCTACCTTAGTATACACTATGTATTTTTCCATTTCTAGAAATCATTCCAACATTTATGTTAGAGCAACCTGGCTGCTGTTGTAAATAGACCCCATCATGTGATGGGCGCATACAGTAGAAGTTTCAGCCTTGCTTTTGTACCAGTCCTGAGCATGACTAGGCCATGGGGGCAGCTTTCCTCCAAGTGAGCAACCAGAAACTCAGGCTGTCTGAGGCTCTGCCATCTTTAACACTTGACTTCTAGGGTTTGGTGATCTTGCCATTTCAACCAGCCAGGAGGAAAGAGCATGTAGGATCTCACAGATGCAGCACTGGAAATGGTGTATTTTATTTCCATCCACTTTTTATTGAGCAGGACTCAGGCACATGGCCACACCTAATAGTAGAGGAAGTCGGGAAGTGTATCTAGCTGTGTATCCGGGAATAAGAGGAGAAATTTGGGCAAAAGCCTAGCAGTCTCTGTCACATATTTATTAATATAGCTTGTCTGTGGTCTTGCCTGTGCCTGTAAAGCTGAGTCCATGTCTGATTCATGCCCCAACACTTTTTACAATAACTGGCACATAGCTGTCACTGCTCTGTAGATATCTGCTGAATGAATGAGTGGAAACTACCTAATTCTATTGTCCAGGATTAATGAGAATCTATTCCTTTTCTTAAGGGGTAAACAAGAGACACTTCTCAGATCATGAAGGAAATGTGGAGTAGAAAGTTGGCATCTGAGAAGGAAAAACTTTTTAAGGAAAAGACAGGGTCCTTAGCCTGGACTAGGAATACAGGTGAAGGGAATATAACCTTCCCAGGAGCTAAGAAGGCTTCTGAACAGAAATAGTCTGGACTTGCACTATAAGGGAACTGCATGATTTCTTTCCAAAGCTGGATAAGGCAGATCTCTCTAACCTTTATGGGTCTGAACTGTAATTCTTGATGTTTATGTAGTCTGTATCTTCATGACATGCTTACATTTATAGAAATGTTTTTTTTGGTAGTGTTGTTCCTTAGAAGACAGGTCTGAAGGTGCTGTGTTGAGGGCTCATTCTGAGAAATAGGAAAGGCCCTGCAGTGGAGGAAATGACACAGGCTCCCAGGGGACTGGCAGTCCGGAGAGCAAGTGGTGAGGATAGGTGGTATCCTGGCATTGCTGGGAGACGGCAGGATCAGGACCTTCCCTGATAAAACAAATGTCTGTTTTCCTACACGTTAGGTGATGCTGATAGGGATTCTGGGCAGCAGGTGGGGGCAGGAGAGGCTATGCCAGTTCTCCACGTGCCTTCTGCCCAGGAGAGCCTGGAAGGTCCGTACTGTTTTGTTCCCCTTCTGCCAACCCCCAAAGCGTGGTGACTGGTGCCAAGGCAGCTGGCGAAGGAGGCTGAAGCCAGGCCCAGAATTCCCTTCTCACTCCAAGCCTGGGTTTTACTGTAATGTCAGGAGCCAGTGAGCTCGGTCCGTGAGCTCCCCATTCTGACTTGGCCAGCCCTGCTCTCCACTTTTAATTTGGGAGATCATTAGGGAATAGTTGATTTCTCACTGTACAATCTGATCCCCACCCCAGTGTACTTACCCTTGGAAACTACCTACAGATTTGGGGCTTGCTTTCCTCTTCTCTGTAAGAGGGTAGCAGGAAGAATGCCCCCCGTGGATTCTCATGGCCATGGCTGTCCTGTTATAGGGCCAAGTGGCCATTGGCTCTCTTCCACACTTGGCCTGGTTGGGGAGTGGACTGAGGGCTTTTGGGCATCTTGAACACTTTTTTCTTTTTTTTTCTGCAGGATTAGGCACAACCTACTGGGACACACAGGGCGCTGGAGGAAGGAGGAGGAGTAATGCTCAGCCCCTGCCCCACTGTGCCTTCAGAAGCTGGTGGCCAGCCAGCCAACATTTCGAGCCAGGCACACATCCTTTGGGGCTTATGAATCCAACTTCTTGCCTCCTGCAAAGTGAAAGGGGATGACTGGGCCAGGTAATTTTATTAATGGATAGACCTTCTGGTCATTTAACATTTTACGACTTACATGAAAATCAGCTTAACGTGTTGAAGGCTACTTGCTTGTTGAATGGAATTTTTTTTTTTTTTTTTTTTTGTGGTACACGGGCCTCTCACTGCTGTGGCCTCTCCCGTTGCGGAGCACAGGCTCCGGACGCGCAGGCTCAGCGGCCATGGCTCACGGGCCCAACCGCTCCGCGGCATGTGGGATCTTCCCAGACCGGGGCACGAACCTGTGTCCCCTGCATCGGCAGGTGGACTCTCAACCACTGTGCCACCAGGGAAGCCCTGAATGGAATTTTTAAATGGTGCAGCAGTTACTTTGGCTTCAGTAGAAGCTTGGAATGAATAAAGTCAAAAGTATATATAGTTTCCTTTCAGTATCCCGAGTGGCACATGTAGTTATTAAGATTTAAAGCACTTTGGCCTTTAGATCATAAAATTCCTAGAGCTAAGGGGGAGAGGGTGGAGATGAAGGGACAAAGGAAAGGAAGGGTAAGGGTAAGAGGAGTCTTGTAAATGTTCTTAGCTGATAAATAACGCTATTTTATAGGGCACTTGTCCATCTGAAACCTCGGAGCTCTTAGTGGGATCATACCATCAGTCCTCACACTGTCCCCTCTAGGAGATAAGAGAGGCAAATGGCAATGGATATGAAATATGAAAGAAGAGGTTCTGAGGAGGGGCTATCAGTTATTTGCTATAATGTCACCAGGAAGTTTCTACACCATGAGTGTAGGGCCAGGTGTCCCAACCCCTGTTAGAATGCTTAGACTGCTCACATGGCTGTGCCCTGGGCTAAGTAAAGGATGAAGGTCGCCATCTTGCTTTATGATCCATTGGAGGTGAGGGGAGGGCACTATTAAAGAACATGAAAAATCATTTAGGGTAGAAGTAGAAGCAGGCTCTTGGGATGGTCCAAATGATAGGTTTAACTGCCTCCAGTTTAATTATGAAGTTATTTGTTTGGATGTGGCTACCACTTGAGAGCCACAAAAAGCAACCGAGAGCGCAAAAGTATTTACTCTAAAAAAATTCAGTGGAAAAGAAATGCAGCACGGTGGGCTGGGGAAGGGACTATCATAACATTTCTTCTAACCCCTCCCCCAGCGCTTACTCCCCACCCAGTGAATCTCGTTAGTTGGTATATAAGGGGGAAATTGTAATTTAGTCATGGTTGAATGTATCCCATTTCCTTTTGATATTTAGAGACTCTTTTTTTTCATAATTATGCTTTTGTGATGAGGGAGGTATTGGGATTCTCTGGGGTTTGAGAAGATCTTTGCTTTATCCTGAAAGCACCTGTCTATTCCCTCTGTGCAGTGGTTTCTAATCCTGCCTAGGATGGAGAGATACAAAATGGGCTTCCAATTTCATGGTTGAAGTGAGAAGAGATAATATCAGCTCAGTTCCCTGCATAAAAATTATTTCTAGTACAAATCTTCTAGAAGTTTGCCTTTGTGGCTGCAACATGGTCAGGAGGATAAGCTTGTGTATGTGTGTGTATGTAGTTTTCATTCATATATATTTATAAATAGATGATGGGGAGAAATTCTTAAATAACTCAAGGATTAAGCAGGATGCTCTGTGTTATCAATGTGAGTGTGCAAGGTGATTCCTTTTAAGCGTTTTGTAGCATCCTTGAGACAGAATCATGGCAAGTGTCAGGTGTATCAGCTCTTGATGGGAGCATTCAGGCACCTCTAGCAGCAGTTATTTCAAGACAATCGTCCCTGTATAGGCTCCGCACATTGATCTTTGGCATTTGCTGGGCTGTGATATCAAAGGAGCTGAGAGAGGAAAGGGTTAAGGAAAATAAATGGGGTCTGATGTGAACATCTTTCCTCCTTTTCAGCTTTTTAGAAGATAAATGTTTTAGATTTCAATCTGTGGTTCCCAGCAGCTCTCTGGGAACACTGCAGTCGGCCCACAAAAATCGCTACTGCTGAGCCAACCCTAGATAATGCCTCTCAGCAGGGATGACATAATGTGCTAAAAGAAGACTATGATGTAATGCCCATCTCAGAAGTCAGAGCCAATTTCCGTTACAAAGCCTTGGAGTGTAGCAGGAGGTAATGAGCTAGCATAAATTGTGCAGCTCGGAAAACTTTTAGGTCTGATGTTCTGATCTGCATGTTTAAAGGCAGAAGAAAAAAAGGAAATAGAATTCCTAGATCTGCTGGGCTTAAGGGTATCTGCTCAGCAAGGAGCTCTGGCCCCTTCCAACTTGGACAGACTGGTGCCCCAGGCTGCCCAGGCCACCTTGGCCCCGGGGGGAGATAGTTGTCTGGGTCCGTCATCTGCAGCGAGGTGGTGATGTAATGTGTAAGACTCAATTTGTTTGCAGATGTTGCTTGAGAAGCGGGTGTGGTGTTCGAAGGAGATCGTGCCTTCCCTGGCATGTGGGGGGAACCAGGTTGGAGATGCCTAGGAGGAAGTCGAGGGAGGGAGGGGGTAAGGAGCGTTGAAGAAAGTCAGAATGACCTTGGAAACTGTGTTAGGTGCAGCCTGCCCTGGTTTGGAGAAGTACGCGTGTGGGGTACCTGAAGCTCCCAGGTAACCTCCGCAGCCTCACCTTAATGATGTATCCCGACCTCCTGGGGTGTAGCCTGCCTGGCAGCCAGGGTCCAGCTCTTCGTTGTGTTTCATACAAATGTTGAAAACAGCCATAAATTCATCTAAGCAGTGACCTAGAGCCTCATAGGATACGGGAAGGAAAGCAGGATCTTTGATTTAAAGGGCGTTCTATCCCATTCCCACTACAGTTTTCTCTTGGTTCATTCTTTCCTTCATTTTATTTTTAATGGCTCTGAGTGCTTGCATGAGGAACACATTTCCATTTTGTTTGCCTTCCATGGTTTCTGTGGCTTACTCCTCACTGGGGGGCTTGATCCTATTACCTGCCCTGCACACCATCAACTCCCTCTGGATGGAAAGACAGTAGTTTTGTGTGCCTTCTTGTTGCAGATCAGGCCACCGGTGCCACAGAGCTGGTGACAGCATTGGCAGAGAATTGCTGGCTTCACAAACTGAAGGCTGTGTCTTTAAGTAAGGAATGAACGTCAGGAGCAGATGAAATTTTTCTGGTATAAGAAAATGAAATAAAACGGAAAACATAACATAGAGGTTAAAGAAGAAATGCTCCTGTGACATGCCAACTGAAATGGGCATTGCTTTCTAGACCTTTCTGTGAAGTGCCAGCAAGTCTTTTAAGTGTATTCTTCCCTGTTGAAAGGAGAGTCGCCATCTCAGCCACTGGTGGTCATTTGCAGGTGGATCACAGGTCAGATATCGATACTATTAATGATAACTTTTATCCAGTGTTTTTCAGTGTACAGTAGATGCTGTCCTAAACTCCTTGCATTAACTGTCTTGTTTAATTCTTACCAGAACCCACCCTGTGGGGTAGGCCTACTTAGTAATTATCACATCCATTTTACAAAGGAGGAAACTGAGGCTCAGAGGGTTTAAATAACTCACCAGGTTCCCAGCTAGTACGTGGCCCAGCTGGCACTAGCATTCCTCTTATCCTAGGACGCTGCAGGAGACATGCTTAACCACCATGGAGCACTAGTGTACAGATGACACCAGGTTTAGGTAGAGATGGTTCCTGTCTTCAAGGTGAGGTATTCCACAGGGCAAATGAATGCCTTCATTGATATTTGCACAAAGCAAAGGATTGTTATCTTTTCTTTTTGTATCTGCATCACTTGGCCCAGTGCTGGGTATGTACCACGTGCTCACTAAATATTTGTTAAGGTGGGCAGTGGGGGATGCAGAAGAAAGAGTGCATGAAAGAATAAAATCCAAATCAGATAGAGAGTGCTCTGAAAATGACAGGGAGTCAGGTTGCTTCTAGTTTATCAGTGAAGACTGCATGCAAAAGGTGGTCTACAATGTGTCTACATTAACAGCTAAATAAAGTGAAAGAGCTCTTATTATTTGTCCCCAAATACTTTAGCATCTGACTAGGTGATTGAGTCTGCTCAGTGAATACGTGGTAGAAAAATGTTATGCACAGATTGCATTTGTATTAATAGAGGCCCCTCCATAGGCAAGTTCTTACCAGTTCAATAATGTCAATTTTTAAAAGGAATCTCTGACATACAAATGAATGGGGACAGGAGCATAGTCTGACTATAGGAAGGACATGGTAAAGCAGAATTACTGATTTGGATAGTCTCCTGTATTTTCAACAGCCATGGGTCCACCACTATATAGTTATTGTATTTACACAGCAGAACAGAGATTATGAGACCTTCTCCCTCTTCTTTAGTCTGAGATATGTGACATCTGATGTTTGTTTATTCTCATCTTTCTAAACCATAAAAAGACATAGAAGGGACAATACAATTTAAAAACAAACCTCACAAATATCTTCAACCTCCAGCAAGCAAAATCATTCAGTCAACAAACAGTGGGCAATGGTGAGACCATCTCGGTGGTAGGTTCAAAATCTCATGCTTTCAAGTATCTATTTGGCATGGAGGAATTTTGTTTTCACCACAGAAACCCTAGGAAATGCTCCTTCGACCTTCACACCAAATTATTCCTGCCCTGTCTGCGTCCTTAATGCCTAGTGAATCTGCCTCCTTTCTGTTCTCACAGCGAGTGCTCTTTACCTCTCATTTAGATCATCGTAAGACGCTGATCCTTCCTCCAGTGTCTTTCACTCCAATTCATTATGGCCCAAGTAATCTGCCTAAAGGCCAGTCCTCTGAAAAATTTTCAGTGTCTGTCTATCACCTAGAGAACTTAGACCAACCTTTCTATGTCATTCTTTTAGATACTCTGCAATTTGGCTTCCCCCAAAACTCTCCAGCTGTATATCCCTTCATTTATCTCTCCTACGCTTTAGCCAAACTGGCCTACTTGTTGTCTCCCAAACAGATATTTTATTCTTGTGCCTTTGTGCAATTTCCTTTTTTCCAGGAAGGCCATTCCTCAGTGCCCTCTCACTGTTTAAGTCTTTTCTG